CTTCCCGCCGGCTACCACACTCTTCCCGCCGGCTACCACACTCTTCCCGCCGGCTACCACGCTCTTCCCGCCGGCTACCACGCTCTTCCCGCCGGCTACCACACTCTTCCCACCGGCTACCACACTCTTCCCGCCGGCTACCACGCTCTTCCCGCCGGCTACCACGCTCTTCCCGCCGGCTACCACGCTCTTCCCGCCGGCTACCACGCTCTTCCCGCTGGCTACCAGGCTCTTCCCGCCGGCTACCACACTCTTCCCGCTGGCTACCACACTCTTCCCGCCGGCTACCACACTCTTCCCGCTGGCTACCACACTCTTCCCGCTGGCTACCACACTCTTCCCGCCGGCTACCACGCTCTTCCCGCCGGCTACCACACTCTTCCCGCCGGCTACCACACTCTTCCCGCCGGCTACCACGCTCTTCCCGCCGGCTACCACGCTCTTCCCGCCGGCTACCACGCTCTTCCCGCCGGCTACCACGCTCTTCCCGCCGGCTACCACACTCTTCCCGCCGGCTACCACACTCTTCCCGCTGGCTACCACACTCTTCCCATCTTCACCAACCTTCTTTTCTCCCCACACTTCCCTCTTCCTTCCCCCCTCCCGCCCATCACCGCCCTTTTCCCACCAACCACCACCTTCTTCCCACTGACTACCGTCCTCTCTCACCCCTTCCCCCTCCTTCACAGCACTCATCCCGCGAACTACCGCCCTCTTCCCACCCGACACCGCTATTCCCCATCGACTTATATCCACTTAACGAACACTCTTTACTCGGGCCAGACACCATCACTACGCTCTTTCCACGTGTGTGTGTGTACTCACCTAGTTGTGCTTGCGGGGGTTGTGCTTTGGCTCTTTGGTCCCGCCTCTCAACTGTCAATCAACTGGTGTGCAGATTCCTGAGCCTATTGGGCTCTATCATATCTACATTTAAAACTGTGTATGGAGTCAGCTTCCACCACATCTCTGCCTAATGCATTCCATCTGTTAACTACTCTGACACTGAAAAAGTTCTTTCTAACGTCCCTGTGGCTCATTTGGGTACTCAGTTTCCACCTGTGTCCCCTTGTTCGCGTACCGCCAGTGTTGAATAGTTTATCCTTGTGTACCCTGTCAATTCCCCTGAGGATTTTGTAGGTAGTGATCATGTCTCCCCTCACTCTTCTGTCTTCCAGTGTCGTAAGGTGCATTTCCCGCAGCCTTTCCTTGTAACTCATGCCTCTTAGTTCTGGGACCAGTCTAGTGGCATACCTCTGAACTTTTTCCAGCTTCGTCTTGTGCTTGACAAGGTACGGGCTCCATGCTGGGGCCGCATACTCCAGGATTGGTCTTACATATGTGGTGTACAAGATTCTAAACGATTCCTTACACAGGTTCCTGAAGGCTGTTCTGATGTTAGCCAGCCTCGCATATGCCGCAGACGTAATTCTCTTTATGTGGGCTTCAGGAGACAGGTTTGGTGTGATATCAATTCCTAGATCTTTCTCTCTTTCCGTTTCATTAAGTACTTCATCTCCTATTCTGTATCTTGTGTCTGGCCTCCTGTTTCCACCGCCTAGTTTCATTACTTTGCATTTACTCGGGTTAAACTTTAGCAGCCATTTGTTGGACCATTCATTCAGTCTGTCTAGGTCGTCCTGTAGCCTCCCACTATCATCCTCTGTTTTAATCCTCCTCATAATTTTTGCATCATCAGCAAACCTTGAGAGAAACGATTCTATACCCTCTGGGAGATCATTTACATATATCAGAAAAAGTATTGGTCCAAGGACTGACCCCTGCGGGACTCCACTTGTGACGTCACGCCAATCTGAGACCTCACCCCTCACAGTGACTCGTTGTCTTCTGTTACTTAGGTACTCCCTTACCCAACGAAGTACCTTCCCTTTCACTCCAACCTGCATCTCCAGCTTTTTCTCTATCCTCTTGTGTGGTACTGTATCAAAGGCTTTTTGACAATCCAAAAATATGCAGTCTGCCCACCCCTCTCTCTCTTGCCTGATTTTTGTTGCCTGGTCGTAGAATTCAATTAGCCCTGTGAGGCAGGACTTGCCATCTCTGAACCCATGTTGATGCTGTGTTACAAAGTTCTTTCGCTCCAGATGTTCAACTAGCTTTCTTCGCACAATCTTCTCCATCAGCTTGCATGGTATGCAGGTTAGGGACACTGGCCTTTAGTTCAGTGCCTCCTGCCTATTCCCTTTCTTGTATATTGGAACTACGTTAGCCGCCTTCCAAATTTCTGGCAGTTTCCCTGTTGCCAGTGATTTGTTATACAATATGGAGAGTGGCAGGCACAGTGCTTCTGCTCCTTCCCTTAGTATCCAAGGGGAGATTCCATCTGGGCCTATAGCCTTTGTCACATCCAACTCTAGTAAACACTTCTTGTGTGTGTGTGTGTGTGTGTGTGTGTGTGTGTGTGTGTGTGTGTGTGTGTGTGTGTGTGTGTGTGTGTGTGTGTGTGTGTGTGTGTGTGTGTGTGTGTGTGTGTGTGTGTGTGTGTGTGTGTGTGTGTGTGTGTAGCTGCTATATTACAAGACCAATCAGAGGCGCCACACTCAAGAATGTCATACAGCGACACTAGCTGCCAGCTCTCCCATTCTGATCGTTGCCAAACTCGTGGGAGATCAGACGTTTGTTACTTTAAAGTGAGAGAGTTTAGTTCCTAGTAGAACAGATTGTTCAAGGTGAACAGGGAGGAGTACGGCCATTGTTATATAAAGAACAGTAAGGAAGAACCACCTTCACTGTGCTTTGGACAAGGAGAATCGAATCTACATAGAATGTAACGATTCTGTCTAGATAGAATCTAGATAGACAGGTAACGCTAGAATGCTCTTACGGTTGCGAAGTCAGTTATTTTTGCTTACTCGTGAAAGATAAACTAATTATGTTAATGTGTAAGAAATTGGTAATATATCGTTGTTAGACTAGATTTTATGGCGGCATATGTTAATACCTGCCATATTTACATGTTAATATATGTCATATTTACATGTTAATACCTGTCATATTTGCACGTTAATACCTACCATGTTTACAAGTCACAATTAATTTGATACGGAAGTATTTTATAGTAAAATATTAATAGTATAACTATATTTGTTGTGTGAGTTACTCATCTGTGTTGCGTTGAGGAAAACCCCACAGGCAATTATCATGACTAGACTGCATGATAAGTGCAGCTGAGAGTGACATAGAAATGTGTGGGAAAATTCTAGTGCTCAATAATGAAGTTGACATTATGGGGGATGAAGTAAGCAGCCAAGTTAGTTAGTAAACATGGAGTAAGTTATTAAGCAAGGCAGCCAAGAAACCTACAGCTCTAAGGCTCATCTTAAACCATCTCGACAGCAGGGGTTGCAAAACCTTGTGTGAATCACAGGTTTGGTCTCATCTTTAGAATATGTACCACTATCGTGTTCCTCCCCCCATCATCATTTATTTAAATTCTAGGAAAGATAAGGAACGTTGCAGGAAGATTCATCTCTAGTTTTGACGTGGTCTGGTTGAATTGATCTCTGCATCTGACATCTAACACTGAAGAGATGTATGTGTGGCCTTATTGTCATGTATAACACGAATTATCTCAAGGTTCTCCACCTGGGGGCAATTTTGTGGACAACTAGAAGTTGGTAACCACAACACAAGGCGCTCAGTCATCAACATCATCCTGTTGGCTTTGCCATTCTCAAGAACAACAGTCCATCTGTGATCATTCATTTTTAAGCTGTCTCGAATTTGGAACATGTTTGCTCAACATAAAGATACACATGAAATCATGGTTATCGACCACATGAAGGCTCTGGTACACAGTTGGGTCCAGGTTAACCCTGCACCTAACATGATTTTAACTTAACAGTAAATAAAGTTTATTCCCAACGAAAAAGTAATTATAAGCTCATTAAATAAATGGGTTTTTATGGTCAAGCTCTTAACTTCCATTTTCATTAAAAACATTAGCACCGTTCCTAAAAAAGAAAAAAGGGAGAGAGGGAAATAAAGAGAGAGAGAGAGAGAGGTACAGATGGGAGATAAAGGTTAAGATAAAGGATAGTGTGTCCATAACTCCGTCCATTATCGTCTAGGGAAAGGCATGAGGGGGCTAGACAGTAATTTTTGAATTATAATACACTTACTGGATTACATTTTGTGCATCTAAGGGTTCAGACCCTATAGCGACTTCATGAATCTAAGTTGTTATACCCAAAGGAATAATCATTTCACTCAGAGAGATTAAGGTAATCTGGGAAATGAAACTATGTTACTGGTGGAGTAATATATGGGAGGTTAGGAAGGCGGTGTGTGTGTTGACACAACAACACGACCCACTCTGCTCCTGCAGGCTTAACTCACACTACAACACAGGGACAATACTTTCAATACCTGCTGCTCTAAAGGGTAATTTTCTTCCGCGCAATATATTTGTGTTTGAAAATACCTATTATATTATTGACAGCTCGTCGAAGGGTTCTCTGTCTCTGTCTCTGTCTCTCTCTCTCTCTCTCTCTCTCTCTCTCTCTCTCTCTCTCTAGTTGGGCTGGACGATAGAGCGACGGTCTCGCTTCATGCAGGTCGACGTTCAATCCCCGACCGTCCAAGATGTTGGGTACCATTCCTTCCCCCCGTCCCATCCCAAATCTTTATCTAGACCCCTTCCAAGTGCTATACAGCCGTAATGGCTTGGCGCCTTCCCTCGATAATTCCCTTCCCCTCCCTTCTCTATCTTTCTCTCTGTCTCTTTGTCTCTCTCTGTCTCTCTCTGTTTCTCTCTCACTAGCTCGTTGAAGAGTTGAATCCCACCTGCTGCTAAAACATACATACAATTTACCTTGCTCAGCTCGGGTGGAAAACTATTACCTTGCTCGTTAAGGGGAACATCATTTTGTCACATGCTTTTCAAAGAGGGGAAGTGGGCGGGTGGGGGGGGGGGTTAACATCTTCTTAGGTCGTCTAAAGGGGTAAATTTCTTCTTACAAAGTCGTGTAAATGCGTACTTCTCTCACCTGCTCGTCGAACGGGTACATCTTGAGGTCAAACTCGCACTGGAAGGTTATGCTGTACTTCCTCCTTACACTTATGGGGTTCTCCAGGCCCGCGTACACCTCCACTGTGAAGACCAATATCCAGTCAGACAGTCACTGGTGATGTAGTTATACAGTTAGTCAGTTACTGTTGATGCATTTAAGCAATTAGATAATCACTAGTGATATATCCACTCAGAGTCAGTCACTGGTAAATTAGCCATATAGACAGGCACTGGTGATGCTTTTAGAAATGCAGGTACGTGTAATATAGTCATTTATGATACAGTCATACAGTTTTGCATAATACAGTCATATAGTTATGCATAATAGTCATATAGTTATGCATAATACAGTCATATAGTTATGCATATAGTTATGCGTGATACAGTCATATAGTTAGACAAGAACATGTAACAGTTACACAGATACAAATAATACATCTATCAACAATATTTCACATTTGTCATCCACTTTAACAATACAACAAAATGAACATACATATTTGAAGTATACTGCAAGTCATTTACCTGTTGAGAATTTTATAGTCCTTATTTACACAATTAATTTACATGTATGACAATAACCCCTACTGACATGCTCATATACCATCAGTAATCTGTGTCTTGTAGTGAATAAGGATGGGAAACGAAGAATGTCAAGACGGCGAGAGGCGGGGCTCTTATTTTGCTGACAGACACACTCGGGTCCGTCAAATGTCTTCGAGAAACTGTGATATAAACTTTTGGGGCACGCAACAAGGGGATAACAAGGCAAGAGGGTGGCAGCACCTCCAAGTTCCATGTTGAAAGAGTCACGTGAGAAGAAATGATTGTAAGAGTGTGGTTGAGACGGTGGTTGAGAGTGTGGTTGAGTGTGTGTGATTGAGACTGTGGTTGAGAGTGGGTCCTTACACTCCTCGGGGCGCGTGTCATCGCCTAGGCTGGGTTTGCCCTGCATGTTGACCACCATGGTGGCCTGGTGGTCCGTCTGCGTGATGTGGATGCCCTTGGTGTTGGTGAAGTCCACCACGGGCACCCACACCTGCTTCATCGTCTCGTACGGCAACCTGCCCGAAAGAACAGAAGGAACTCAAAATAACACCACGAGTCGATTCGTGTAACAGCGGGATGGTGTTGAAGATTGACATTGTCATGAAGTATTTAATTTTAATATTCAATACTGTTGGTGTAAGGTGTTTTGAATATTTTATTTTATTTGAAGGTGATTTTTTCAATTTCCAGACGTATTTCTGAAAATGTATTCGTAAATGGGATTTGCATATTACCTGTTGAGGGTATAGTCTTCATTGAGGTTAAGGAATTTGAGTCTTGCCTCTTGCCATGTCATGCTGACGTTGAGATTGACGTGCATGTGCATTGACGGCGTGTCCACGTCGGCACTCTCGATGATGACGTGCAGAGTGACGGGCAAGGGCTCGGACGAGTTGCTGTCGCTGTTGATGACCGGAGGCAAATCGGGGCGGTAGACGGAAGGGAAGAACACCAGCTGACAGCCACTCTCGTCACTCTTGTCCCGACAGTCGAACTTGAGGTCGCAGCGCTGGAAGAGAGGGATGCAGGAGGCGTCGTCACAGGAGAACTGACCTGCACCACAGGGAGTCAACAGGAGGGGGCGAGTCTGACCTACAGCCTGACCACACATGGCCTTCTTCAGGGTCCATTTCTGACGGCCAATAGGAAAGCCACTTACTGCGTCAACCAAACTAGCGACAGTCTGGTTATTGCGCCAGTCCCACCACAGCCACTCACTCTTATCCTCACTCCGGATTATTTGGTAGTCCGAGTAGCCTCTGAACAAAAATTTCCCAGTTTTATCCTGAAGGGCTACAAGGTGTGTGTTTCGTCGATACCTCTCGCAGGCTCCCAAGAGCACCCAGACGGGGCGCCGCGGGACTGCGCACACCGCACACTGTAAGTCGTCACAGCGGGTGTCGGCCAGCTTGAGGGGACCCTCCGCTACGGCACAGTTCTCCAGCTTGCTCCCGTCCGGTTCGTCCAGTGCCCAAGAGGGACGCACCTGTGTCATGTACTTCATGTGAGTCCACACTCCCTCTTCCTTGGCATCTGTGATCCCCACCCAGAAGGGCTTGCACACCTTGCCTCCCTCAGCGTGGTGCTTCTCTACAGCCTTTAACAATGTATTGTACTCCTCTCTAGAGTGAGGCGTCGGAAGAGACCCACCGAGACCTTCACATACTTGGAAGGCAGAAGTGGCAGTGAAGTCGGTGAAGACAAAGTAGTCTGTGCCCGAAGCTTCCTGGCAAAGGTCATCAAAAGACTCTTCAGTCTCCGTCACATCCCCAACAGACGTCCAGGGGCCTCTCCAAGGAACGACGTCTCCCTCCTCTTGCATGAAACACTCTGACAGAGCGGCCACTTCGTCAGCCGTCAGTGTGCGGCTCCATATGTTGACCTAAAAGAAATTAAAACCAGAGTACCTAGGATACTGAATTCTTAACAACTTTGTTTTTCTGCTCTAAGATCAAGTTAAATATTTAACACAAAATTTGTTGGAAGGACCTCCTTCAGGACCTACCTGAGGGAACTGGCTGTTGAAGGACCTACCTGTGAGAGTTGGCCGCTGAAACTGTGATCTGCATTCCAGGCGCCAATCTTAATTTGTGTTCCAGTAATTGGTTCTCCGAGCTGGTAATTGTGAGAGTCTTGCACAGTGCCATCCAGATACGTCACGGTGACCCCGTTGCCGTGAGTGACACACAGGTGGTGCCACGTGAGTGCCCGTAGACGATGCTTCAGGAAGTAATAGCGACGAAACTTAGACAATGTAACCCGTATGTAGTTTAAGTTGACCTCTGGTGGTAGAGAATGGAAGCGCACATGACTGGCCAAAATAGATATATGAAGTTTCTGGAGTTATTTTGTCTATATTTTACCTATAATAGCCCTAATAGACTCACACGATGACTTTTGTAATGCACTTAATAAAGAGCACCGAGCGAATCTGCAATAGAGACGAGTTTTGACGAGGGATGCAGGGACGTGTGCCTGTAACACAGACATACGTACACACACATACGTACACACACATACGTACACACATACGTACACACATACGTACACCCCCCCCCCACACACACACATACGCAGGAGACCTGAAGTTAATTACTCACACCCAACAATAGGTAAGCACGTACATGCGGTGTTCCCGCTGTTGTGTTCAGCAGCGGGAACACAATCCCCGGACATAAGTGAACACATGTCATCTCTCATATACTAGTAGTAGTAGGCATCTCGAGAGACTATGGAATTGCGCTCTGGTTGTCGGTCTGGAGTGGCCTCACCAGGGCGCAAAGCCAGGGTAGGTTGACACGGAGGAGAAGTTGTCACCCATGCAGCAGGTGCCCCCTCTCCACGGCGCCGAAAGTCTCCAATGGAAAGGCAAACGCCAATACGACTGGTTCCAGCTCCGTCACATAAACTGTCAGAACGAGGTTGAAGGTAACAACGAACTGCCGTAGGGGGCTCCGGCTCCGGAGTTGACCTCGAAGTTGGTGAAAAAGAGCATGGGGGACTCCAAACCCGGAGACCGCCGTGGTCGTGACCGGAGAAAGAACCGCCCCAGCAAACGTATGAATATAAAGGTCTCATATCTACACACACACACACACCTGCATTGCATCTCCACACACCTTTAACATGCACGCACACGTGGCCCTTCAGCCTCACCTCCATACACCTGATACATGAAACTCCAACTTCTATACAACAGCCACGTGTACGTGTTTTCCTCATATATATGACAATGGAACATTAAGGCTTCTCCTTAAGAAACATATACCCAATACCAGATCATCAACTCCTCAAACACAGCAACTACACACACTTAAAGCACAATCATGAAGTCCCCTCACAGAAGGCACACTTGAAACATCATTATGAAAATGAACCCAAGAAAACCGCCCTACAGTTGTCGAGGGCAGCGTACGGTTGTCGAGGACAGTGTACGGTTGTCGAGGACAGTGTACAGTTATCGAGGAAAGCGTACCGTTGTCGAGGACAGCGTACAGTTGTCGAGGACAGCGTACGGTTGTCGAGGACAGTGTACGGTTGTCGAGGACAGTGTACAGGTGTCGAGGGCAGCGTACGGTTGTCGAGGACAGCGTACGGTTGTCGAGGACAGCGTACGGTTGTCGAGGACAGTGTACGGTTGTCGAGGGGCAGTGTACGGTTGTCGAGGGGCAGCGTACGATTGTCTAGAGCAGCGTATGGTTGTCGATGGCAGCGTACGGTTGTCGAGGGTAGCGTACGGTTGTCGAGGACAGCATACAGTTGTCGATGGCAGCGTATGGTTGTCGAAGGTAGCGTACGATTGTCGATGGCAGTGTACGGTTGTCGAGGACAGCATACAGTTGTCGAGAGCAGCGTACTGTTGTCGAAGGTAGCGTACGGTAGTCGAGGGTAGCGTACGGTTGTCGAGGGTAGCGTACGGTTGTCGAAAGTAGCGTACGGTTGTCGAGGGTAGCGTACGGTTGTCGAACGTAGCGTACGGTTGACGAGGGTAGCGTACGGTTGTCGAAAGTAGCGTACGGTTGTCGAGGGTAGCGTACGGTTGTCGAGGGTAGCGTACTGTTGTCGAAGGTAGCATACGGTTGTCGAGGGTAGCGTACGGTTGTCGAAGGTAGCGTACGGTTGTCGAGGGTAGCGTACGGTTGTCGAAGGTAGCATATGGTTGTCGAGTGTAGCGTACGGTTGTCGAGGGTAGCGTACGGTTGTCGAAGGTAGCATATGGTTGTCGAGGGTAGCGTACGGTTGTCGAAGGTAGCGTACGGTTGTCAAGGGTAGCGTATGGTTGTCGAGGGTAGCGTACGGTTGTCGAAGGTAGCGTACGGTTGTCAAGGGTAGCGTATGGTTGTCGAGGGCAGCATATAGTTGTCGAGGACAGTGAATAGTTGTTGAAGACAACGTACAGTTTTCCAGGACAAGATACAACTGCCAAAGGCTGCTCACAGATGTCGAAGACAACGTACAGTTATTCAGAACATAGTGTAATTGTCGAGGACAGCGTAGAGTTGTTGGTGACAGTTTACAGCTGTCAAAGGCAGTGGTCGAGGACAGCATACAGCTGTCGAGGACAGTATACAGTTGTGGAGGAGAGTATACAGTTGTCGGGGACAATGTACAATTGTCAAGGGCAGGACAGTTATCGAGGGCAGGACAGTTGTCGAGGGCAGGACAGTTGTCGAGGACAGCGAACACTCCCGTCACTCACCTGCCTGTATGGTGTGTATCAGCTGACCAGTGGAGTTGTCGGAGACCTGGAGGAATCCGGACACTTCCCACAGGAAGTAGAATCTGAGCCTCACGCAGAAGGAGAGAGAGTCGAGGGGCGCGAAGGATAACTTGTCCCTGTACCGCAGGTGGCTGTCTGACTGCTCCCCGCTAGCTTGGAACTCGAACACTTGCACCGAACACCAGCAGCAACCTGGCATGGCAGAGGAGGAAACAGTTAACTGTACCGCGTGAACTCTGAAGATTTCCCGCTGGCTTCGAACTCGAACACTTGCACCGAACACCAGCAGCAACCTGGGATAGCAGAGGAGGAAACAGTTAACTGTACCGCGTGAAACTCTGAAGATTTCCCGCTGGCTTCGAACTCGAAAACTTGCACCGAACACCAGCAGCAACCTGGGATAGCAGAGGAGGAAACAGTTAACTGTACCGCGTGAAACTCTGAAGATTTCCCGCTGGCTTCGAACTCGAAAACTTGCACCGAACACCAGCAGCAACCTGGGACGTAAGAGGAGGACACGATTAAAGAGCGATGTGTCAGACTGTATGTCTGTGGCGGGGTGTCCTGCACACCGTCAAACCTCAGGTATGCTGTCCAAAAAAGTTTTCAATATAATAATTACAGGCCAGTTTTGCTGACAGATCAGATTGCCAGCATTTTTTATGTATCTTTTGCCTTAATAACTTTACCTTAACGAGTATAAAATTGTTTTAGGAGTGAGATAGTCAATGAGAATATTTAGAAGTAACGAAATATAATGCTGTAATAAAATGCTTCGAAAGAGAAAGTGGGTTAAAGAAAATCTCAAAACACAGAGCTAAGGCTAATGATAGAGCTTTGTACGCCTAGATAAACAAATGGAGTGAACGTCAAAGCCAACAAAGCTAGTACATCCTGGGGGCGTGCCGGCCTGATTAATAGTGTTTGGGAAGTATTGAACCTCGTTATAGCTTCATACAACACACGCCTTAGTTGTATGAAGCTATTCATACAACACCGTCCTATCGCCGCCTGCCTTGTCAAACAGCCAGTCAGACGCTCTCCGCTGTCTTGGAGAACGATGCTTGTGACCTTTCCAGAAGAAGCTTTCTCCTTGAAATACCTGAGAGGCGTGGAGCGTGTGCTGTCTGGTAACTTTCTGCTGTTTGGAGACTATTTGGTCAAACTCATTAATGTTCCCGTCCGCCAAGTTATGCGCATCTGCTTGAATCATTATTTTTGAGTGCGGGGAGAGTGGGTAATGTGGAATACTGGTGAGGGCAAGGATGGACACTCTGGGTAACAGGAAGAGGGGACGCTGAGGGAAGTGGAAGGGGAGGCACTAGGGAAACAGAAGGGTGGACGCTGGGTAAAGGAACATAAGGTAAGGTGATGGAGTGGGTTGGGAGGACGCAGGATAAAGGATGTAGGGGGGCGGGACACTTAGAATCAACCTCTGCACCATTGGCATAGTAACCACCCAGCAAGCACACTTCAGACGTACAGAGCATTCAAGGCTACGACAATCTCTCAGACCAGAGAGCGAGCAGGAGAACCCTCAGGAGTGGCCGGGCTCCATAGCCAGCACAGTTCACGATCTACGATAACCGTAGCTCCACCATTGTGAGGATTCATTGCTCAATAACCCGACGATCGCAAACAAACGACGAAACCAAATTTTCAATAAACAAAGAGAGAGCTGAGGGACATTGACACTTGCACCATAGTGTGAGAGTTCTTCAGTGAGAGCAGAGCATGAAGGCTAGAGCCACAGTGGTCTAGCAAGATATGACGTTTCTTCCTGTCTCTATTGCTCTACAGAATAATCTCTAGATTACTCTATTGCTCTATATCCCTGTGCCTTTACTGGTGTACATGAAGGTGTGTCAACTTAAGAATGTGTATTCCATGGCATGTTTTATATTACATATTGATGAGCATTACGTGAGGTATATCTTCTTCCTCCCCTCTCTCATCTTTTTCTTCCCTCCTCTGCCTTCCCCTCTTCTTTAGTATAACTAATCTATGTCTATAAGACAAGATCTATTTGCATGTTTCCCTGTCCAAGATTGGACGCCAGTCACTTAGGACAAGCCTTACCCAACTTTGCAGGGGTGAATGGTCAGGGGTATGGGACCGACATAGGCTGATTGGTCCTCTTGATCTTATTAAAAAGGGGTCGGCAGTGCCCTCTTTACGTATAGGTACACTGAGCAGTTGTTTAGGGTCCCCCCACGAGTCTAGGCCCCCCCCACGAGTCTAGGCCCCCCCCACGAGTCTAGGCCCCCCCCACGAGTCTAGGCCCCCCCACGAGTCTAGGGGGCCCCGTGGTGCATGTTGTTCATGAGAGATTTTTTGGCAGACTAATTACTCGCCCTCCCGCTGGAAAGGCCTGGGATTCAAATCTCTTTTCAAGTTATGTTTTATCATGTAAATAATTTGAGCTTAATTATCTGACGGTAATCCAGCACGGACAGGCGGGGTCCATTATCCAGGTAGGGGGTGGCCACAGTGCTGATCATCCAGGTAGGGGGGCCACAGTGCTCATCATCCGGGTAGGGGGGCCACAGTGCTGATCATCCAGGTAGATGGCCACAGGGCCCATCATCCGGGCAAGGAGCTCCAGTGCATTACTTTGGCCAACAATACTGGCAAGACGGCCCCTGGGGGTCGCGCCAAATAGTGACCCAATCCTCCACATAATAGGTGAAAGATGTCTGGCGTATAGAGAGAGAGAAGAGAGAGAGAGAGAGAGAGAGAGAGAGAGAGAGAGAGAGAGAGAGAGAGAGAGAGAGAGAGAGAGAGAGAGAGAGAGAGAGAGAGAGAGAGAGAGAGAGAGAGAGAGAGAGAGAGAGAGAGAGAGAGAGAGAGAGAGAGAGAGAGAGAGAGAGAGAGAGAGAGAGAGAGAGAGAGAGAGAGAGAGAGAGAGAGAGAGAGAGAGAGAGAGAGAGAGAGAGAGAGAGACAGAGAGAGACAGAGAGAGACCTGGGTGCAGCCAGGTATACCCCCCTCCTGGTAACACTGGGGGAAGGGGTGAAGTGGTGGACCATGCATGGGGGAGCAGGAGGAGGAGGGGGGGTCGAACGTGGCGCCCCCTGCGGATAACGGAGAGCCTCACTCATTTTCCGTTGCTGTTTATTTCCTGGTAATAACTCTACGTCTTTCCTAACCCCTTGCAAGAGCGGGGTGCTGTTATCGGTTCCATCTGTCTGTTAATGGGTGTGCGTCTGCCTGTGTGTGTGTGTTGTGAGTCTTCCTTGAGGGCGTGGGTAGGCTGAGACCGCCTGAGTCTACGAGGTCTCTCTCCCTGGATGTTCGAGTCCTTTATACAAAACAACGAAGTATTAAGGGAGAGGAAGGGTTAGGTTTGCATTCCGCGTGCTTACAAGAGTGTGTGCAAGAGTGCGTATAATGTACTTGGCAGAGTGCGTGTGGAGTGCTTGCGTATTCCTTGTGAGCGTGAATGAGAATTGCTTGCCAGAGTGCGGAACGGTTGTGAGAGTGTGTGAGAGAGTGCATAGGGTCTCAGCGAGGAGTAAGCGTGAAGTGCTTGTGTAAATGAGTGCGAAGAGCGGGTAAAGCTGTGTGAGAGTGCGTGTGGAGTGTTTGCAAGAATGCGTGTGGAGTGCTTGCAAGAATGCGCGTGGAGTGATTGCAAGGATGCGTGTTTAGTGCTTGCAAGAACGCGTGTGGAGTGCTTGCAAGAACGCGTGTGGAGTGCTTGCAAGAACGCGTGTGGAGTGCTTGCAAGAATGCATGTGGAGTGATTGCACAAGTGCGTGTTGAGTGTCCACCAGAGTGCATGTTATGGTGTCCAGAATGCCTGTGGGGGAGAAAGAGTGCGTGTAGAGTGCTTGCGTGACTACCAGATCTTGACCAATATTCAGGTTAATTGAGGTACTCTTGTGACCTTGTGCTCACAACGATAAGCAGATAAATTACTTTTTTGATGAAATTTATTGCCAAATTTGTGTTTTGAAACCTCCATGACTGACACAGGAAGGACATGACTGACACAGGAAGGGGCATGACTGACACAGGAAAGGACATGACTGACACATGAAGGGCAAGCCTGACACATGAAGGGCATGACTGACACATGAAGGGCGTGACTGACACAGGAAAGGCATGACTGACACATGAAAGACATGATTGATGCAGGTACAAAAATGGATGGTAAACAGAAAAGTTTGCTTTGTACCGGCCGAATATTGGACTTTTTACCCCCCAGCTTTTTCGACTGAGGCCGCCAGAGCGATGAATTATGTGACCAAGGTATCACACGCCAGCCAGCTGACACCACTTTTTACTCATCCAGATGGGTTGAGTAATTGGATGGGTGAAACGAATCGGCAGGTTATTAGGAGGGTCACGTGAGTACGTGGTATCTGGCGAACCCTGTCACTCACACACTCATAGGTGAGTACACACGCATACACTGCTCCAGGGGAACCCACGCTCCCAGGAACACCCACGCCGCCAGGAGGTCCGACGCCCCCAGGAGCACGACGCCCCCAGGAGGTCCGACGCCCCCATGAGCACCTACGCCTCCAGGAGCACCCACGCCCCCAGGAGCACCCACGCCTCCTGGAGCACGACGCCCTCAGGAGGTCCGATGACCCCAGGAGCACAACGCCAATTAAGTATACAGACTAGGAATTTAATCTTTTGAATAAGCACAAAATGAATTAGAAACCCCTCAGATATTGAACAAATCTTCTTTCTGAAGTGAATGACGAAGTGACCTACAAGGAGAGGCTAAGGGAACTAGTTCTTGCTACATAGCAAGAAAGCAGCAGATGGAACAGGATGTTGTCCTACAAGATTCTAAGAGAGTGTGAGTGAGTTGACAAAGATGAAATGTTCAGTATTACAAAATAGCAGAATGAGGAAAACACATGAAAGAACTTTTTTAGTGTCAGAGTGGTTGACAAATGGAATGCATTAGGGGGTGATGTGGTGGAGGCTGACTCCATACACAGTTTCAAGTGTAGATATGACAGAGCCCGATAGGCTCAGGAATCTGTACACCTGTTGATTGACGGTTGAGAGGCGGGACCAAAGAGCCAGAGCTCAACCCCCGCAAACACAACTAGGTGAGTACAACTAGGTGAGTACATGGAAACATGAAAGGTAAAGCGACCACAGACCCGATGGGAAGAACTACGTTAGAGCTGTAAATCATTCAAGTCGGGTTAATAAAACAGGTAGTT